TTTTTAAACAAAGATTAATAACTTTGTTAAGTAGCAAATGTAGCTATTGTTCATTGTGAATGTTAATGCATTAACTAAGGTTAACTAATGAGGTCTTATTGTAAAGTGATACCTATTGGTCTTTATAGTTCTTTTGCACTTTAATCTGTGTAAAACTTTTAACTTTGTACATTTTTCTGTATTGCTTTATTGCTAAATGTTCAGTTATTTTTGTTATAAGAAAAAAGTTATTAAACCTGTTATACTGTATTATGACAGCACTTTTTTTTTTAAACTTAATTTCAATACCGTGATAATACCGTATAACGTAATAAAAGCATTAGCAATTAATCGCAACATGAAAATTTGATACCGGCATATCCCTAATCAGTAATTAGCCAACCTAAGACATTTGGATCAACATGTATTAGGGATGGTAAGTAAAATTTTATGATGCGATGCTTCAATTTCAAAAAAGTGTGCATCGGATACAAGTTGGCATTTGTATCGCAATGCATCATTTCTAACATATTTGCATCTGTAAAAACAGATTTATTTATAATTATTAGTAGATGCACTCAACCCTCTACATTGCGAGTAAATCACTAGAGGGTTGTACACTATACTTTTATTATTTAGAAAGTTGCCAATAATTTGTGACCAATATTTTATATGTAGACTGATTTCTCCTCTAAACAGTTTCTCAAGCACATTCTCTCATCACCACTGCTGCTACATGAATATAACGTATCACAACACTACGGAGACCAAGGTGTGTCCTGAGAGTCACATAGAATATAGATTAACATGGCTGTTTAAACCAAAGAAATAAAAGCGATCTATCTGTACCATGCTGAATTGCATAGCATCACATTTTTTTTCATTGCATTGCATTGCATTGAACTGCACTGTGTTGAATCGAAATCGGATCGCACTGCATCGTAATAGGGGTGAATCATATCGCATCAGTAGCTGCTTCACATGTATATTTAATGTTAATTGTATTGTTGGCTATGCATCGGGCTCAGTTATGGAGATGCACATCCCTACCATGTATGCTACCGACAAAGGTAGTTGTTTCTAGGAAAAACGCTATTACTGAGCTTTAATGTAGTTTAATTTCTATTAAGGAATTTGCACCAGTCCCACACAGCACTCAATTAACACAAAGGGGAAGACACCAGTTTTCATGTTACAGCATCCTCATGTCGTAACTTGTCGTTCATAAGCTCTAAATTGCTGTTTAATGCAAAACAATATTTAAAAAATGGTTGAATAAATTCATTAATCTTTTAACCATCTATATAGCCATGGTCAACTTAATTTCTTTATAGCAAAACTGCACAAAGCCTGAATTGGCCCTCCTTGAAAGGTGAAAAAAAAAAAAAAAAACTACACATGTATTACTGCCTATGTTTTGTTTATTTTGCTTTCCAAGGCTACAGCTTCCAGCCATTCTGTGGCTTATTATAGATGACAAGTCTTAGTTAGTAGCACAGCGTAGAAGTATTGAATTCACAGAATGATGGCTGAAGCAGTTGAGGACTATTAAAAGACCCAACATGCTCCGTTTAGGCAACCCTAAGAAACAAATGTATCTTCAGTCCTTCCGCTCCCAGACTGACAGAAATTACATCAATTCTCTATAACGGTGTTGATCTAAAGAAACTCAACCTCTGAGGCTGGGTGTTGTGCATCTGAAAATCCCTTTCTTATGCCCATTATTGCTTTAAAAACTAATTGGATTAATAAAAGCAGACTTTAGTGACAACTGATCTGCCATAAAAGTGAGTGAATATGCACCGAAGGCTTGGAGCCAGAACATCTAACAAACAAAGTGGTGCAAAAATAAAGCCCTGCCTGGCTTAAATAAGTATTTTTAGATGTCAGATCATCAAGTCCACATTCTTCCACTCATTCCTGTAGAAACAGTTCCTGTTGTTGTCCAATGGCAGGATACTGCACACATTTGATAAGCCCAATTTTCTCACTAACTGCTTTTGATGTCCTTGCTCATCAGTCCATTAATAAACAGGGAAAAACAACAAAAGGGCCAAAGTAAACTTGCTGGTGACCATGTCAATATTTTTGTTTGTCATCTGGGTCTATTGGAAAGTTTTCTCCTACCAGCACTTTCCTTTCCATTTGACTCGGTGTTTGTGCTATACGTACAACAACTCTCCACTGTCAGAGTAAGCTGGTACTAACAGAACGAGAAAAAGATCGGCCTGAACAAGAGGTGGCAGCTGTCCGCGCAGACAGTGCCAATTTCCAAACAAAGCTCTGTGTCCAGTCAGTAAAGCCAAGTGGTTGAAGAGAGGATGACCAGCAAGGCAAAAGTGAGGAGCACTAACAAACATGCTACAATTCAAGTGCTGGAGGGGAGAAAAATATAAACACTATGTGATAACTGTTCCGATAGGAGGCTGTAAGAGTTATAAACTCCTATCAAAAGTCAAACCAAACTTTCAAATAAAAGTTATGTCAAACTCCCCTTGTAACTGCATATCATTTGAACATAATGAAAGGGGGAAGAACCAAAAAGAGGCAGAAATGTGCTTCAGAGAGCACAAAAAGCTCTTAATTCCTAATACACAACTTGATTAGAACTAACAGTTCTGGCAAAATGGATCCTTTTAATTACCCACACTTTAAAGGGAAGATACTAAACTGTAGGGATGGTACATGCAGAAAGCATAGTGTTGTTACTTTGACTAAACTGACTCTTTAGTGTTTACATTTTTTTAATGCATATTAAATGTTGAATATTAAAACTTAGAAATGAAAAGCAGGAAAAATTTAATTTATGAAAAAATATCACACCATGTAGGCAAGTTCTCCACCTTAGACATTAATATACATAAGTTATTTCTTCAATTAGCTTATATTTTTCCAAGTAACATGCCTTAATGACCTCTCACCTTGCAACCGGGAGTCAGGGATGACGGACACCCAATTATTCTGACCATTAACAGCATCTGCCTGAATTTATGCATACTGTATTACGCCATGGACAAATATGTAAACTGCCTATGAAGGGTAAGCCAAATTCCCAGTAGTTAATTCCTGCACAGTGGAACCAAGGCTATCTTTACCGGTGTCCTGTGTCAAGAGTTGGAACAGTTGTTCCGACGAGCATCAGCATGACGTTAATTGAATTTTTAACTAATACTTTGGAGAATGTATTTGTATTCTGGAATTCCTTTAGCCTCTTAAAATAGAACATATGGGATCAAAATCTCTGTAATACATTGTGACAAGTTGTGGGCACATGTTGATTGTATCATGCCAAAAAACATAAAATACCCAACAGTTGTTCCATCAGCACGTAGGATCACCAAAGCATTTGCGAATAACTGGACATAGAAATCAAAGCCTAGACACATCTGCTTAACATTTCACAATAAAGTATCACACTGGTCAGATAATGTCCCTACTCATGATTTACATTCACTGCAAACAGATGTCTTTCCTCAAAATGCAACTTTATTTGTAATCCTTAAAGAAAAAGTTTGCAGTTTTCTGCTTCTCACATTTTGCGATATTATCTTTCCTCAAGTTTTAAACAAATTTTGCACGTGACTGAAACAAGACTTTTCAAAGACAGAGAAAATGTCCTCTGTTGTGCTGTGTCCAAATTACAGGGACTTCTTGCGTTTCACATCAAAAGTTAATTTTATCTCATAATCTTTTTAATTTCCACAGGTGCATCAATGTTACTTATGAATAAGCCTTCTTGATATCAGCTTCCTCCTGTTGGGCCAATAAGATATGTGTGAATTTAATGACACGTTGATCTGATACTGACAGCAGGAAGTATCATGGAGGCACTGCTTTAATTACAGATGTCCCAGCATAATCCAATTTATAGGCTCTGAAACCTCAGCAGCAAAGTCCACCAGCATCGCTGGACAGCGCATGATGACAGAGTCATTACCATTCCAGGGATTGACAGCATAGAGATTCACCCACCTCTGGCCACACATGAACAGGATTTCTTTACACAAAAGACATGCAGGGTTCACAGAGCTCATCTGACCAGAGCAGGAGCCCTACATGCACTGACCAGGAGCTGCAAAAGCCATTCAGCATCCTCTTGTGGCTAAACTGGGAAAAAGTAGTTTAACCCTCTCTTAGTGGTAAAATGGCTGTTAATAAATGTGTAGGACCATCATGAGAACATTCCTTGAAATTTCCTATCAAGCTGTGCTAGAAAACTACTTTAAAATTAGCGGTTTCTATATTAACATGTAGAAACACATTTGGCAAAAGCTTTTTACCACATGAAATATGAACTAGTGGGGAAAAAAAAAATTGGTTGTTTTAGTGTGATATGAGGGATTAATGGATTCGAGATTGCCTTATATGAAAGTAAACATAACATTTCTTTAGACTAAGCAGGGCTCGACAGTGTTAGCTTTTCACATGCATTTGCAACTCAAAATAGATTGTGTGCAAAATGTAGAATGTATTTAGGAGCATGTGTATGAATAAAAAAAAAACCTGCAGGTCGTTAAAAAGTAGAGAATTATCACTTATTAAATTTAAGATTGTAAAAAGTCTTAAGTGTTTTAAATGACATAATAAACGTCTTATTTTAAGAGGTCTTAATAATAAACAGGTAGATAATAAACTTTAAAAGGCTTTGATTTAATTAACTAAATGTAAGTGCTGCACATTCAAAGTAAAAAAGCTGGTTCCATCCATTACATGACAAACAAAACATAATAATGTAATAATTATTTACATAATTATTAAATACAGTTTGAGGCAGAAGTATTTTAAAATGGTACTTTTTATACTTGATTTTGCTTGTAAAAGTCTTCTTGTATACCTTTATTATGGGACATTTTTTATTATTTCATCAATTTTGATTGCACTCCCACATTTTTTACCTTAGAAGCACAGGTGAAAAACAAGCATTAAACTCTGATAATCAGGCCTGGATATAAAAGTCTGCAAGGTGACAGAACTGGGGTCATACTGCATTGTAAAGAGAGTGCTGAGCACAGATGCTTTACCTTCTTAGTGCTGACAGAGCGTCGCAGGGCCCTTGCATTCACTCCCGCTCTGTTATTGCTGCCAGTCGCAGATGGCAGGGTGGCTGAAGGAGGGCTGCTCGGGGCACCAAGGGCCGCAGTCATTCTCTCTGTCGCATTAATCTTTGAGGCAATGTTGTTGTTGTTGTTTTCTGTTAATAACAAAGTGCTTGTGCCCTTGAAATCAGCATGGCTTAGCTCTATTTCTTCTCCATTCTTGATTTTGTTGAGGTAGTCTTTTAGCATTGCCTGAGTACTCGGCTCACTCAACCAAAAGAGGAAGAGCTCGTCGACCTTCATCTTCAGGACAGGCTGAAGCGTTTGTGGTGATGCCATTTCTGGTTTGCTTCATGCAGCCAAGATCCTCCCAAAAAGATAAAAATAACCTAAAGAATAAATCAGAAAGGACAGTCAAAATCCTCAAATTTAGAAGTTTGAAACACGCACTATTAACTTATTCTTTACAAAAATTATTAAAAAATATTAGTAATTTAGGTTTACCAAAACATTACAGTCACTTTCATTGTTAGTACTGAAAAACTGTGGTAACTTGGTATTAGCTTCTTTTGTCATAAATAACAGAAATTTAACACGATGGCAGAAAGGTTTCACGGATTTCGCATTTTACAATATTAATAACTGCAGTAACTATGGTATTGCGACATAAACTGGTTTCTAAACATCCCACCGCGGAGGACGAAACTAGAGAACAGCGAAAACATCTTCTTATTTAAATTCACTTTATTTTTCTCACACTTCCACACATAAACCAAAGGAAAGCTAAACTGTGACAGAAATAAGATGGTTTGTTGCTGTTGCTAGCTGACTACACGCAGCATACACTTCCACAGCTAACAGAGTACGGGTAAATAATTACATAAACACCGCCAGTATTCCATAACATAGACAAAGAAACGTATTTTTAATCGCTAAAGTCCACAGAATTAAAGGTAACTGGTTGGCATTACTCTACCTTCTGTTATTACGATGAGTTTTGGCTGTTTTCGATCATTCAAAAATGGGTACACTTTGAATCAAACTCTCGTTTCCTCAGGTAACCGGGAAAGTTTATATCGCGAGAGCAGAGTTCATGCGAGAACGACTCGTTCGTTTGAAGCGGTTCGTTAAAAGGAATCAATCGAGCCGATTCGCAAGAAGAACGCGTTCGAACTCTTTGAGTTACCGTTTGAATGGATTAGAGAGTTGAATAATGAGAGTCACTGGATGAAGCGAACGTTTTCTGATCTCGCTCGACTCCAAAAGAATCACTGTTTACAAGGAAAGATTTCTGTCGTAAGGTGAAAAAGTTACTGGAGGAATATTATTCAGCATTCCAATGCAATGTTTTTCCATCATCACCATCTTCAGCAAGTGAAAGATTTTTATATGAAGGAAAAATATTCTTGTTCAAACACAATGACTTAATCTACGTTCTTGGACAGAATTTGGATTTTGCTCACAAAACAACCACAACTAGAATTTTTTTTTTTTTTCATCTGATGTAGGCTACTACCCCAGAAGTATTTATATTATTTAGAAAACTAAGTATTTGAATTATCTCACTTGCTTTACTTCTTTCATTTAAAATGTAGACATACTCTGTTTAAGAATAGATTATTATTTACATGTGACGTTGAACAAAAAGTTCCGGAAGTGCAGTGGAAATTGGTTTTGACAACTGCATTAGTGCGGTGTCCCGAAAAAAGTACTAATTCTAATGATCACAATATTAGACTGATGAAAAAATAGTAATGGAGCCCCCTGCAATGTCCCTGAAATTTACAATAATACCACATTAGGCATTGTACCTAACAGAAAGAAATTTTTTGTTCATGTAATGATTTTCTTGCAACCATTGCTGTGTATAAATTGTTTAAACTAGACTACAACTGTAATAACATCATGCTAAAGGAAACACAAAAAACCATATGATCCACAGCAGTCTGAAATCCTTAAAAAGTTATTCCACCCTGTACCTCATGATTTTTAATAAAAGCACAAAAGAACGCCCTCTTTATTCAAAAAAACATTTAGATTTGTAATTCACATAATAAATCAATGCTTGGTGGGAAGAATGGATTTCACAAGACACTTCAATTGCTCTCAGATGTTTGGATTCTTTATTTGAGATCACAATGGGAAAAGGGAACGACGCTTATGCCTTTGAAAATCCATTGAGATTTTCTCATGCTATATTGATGTTAACGGTACAGTAAGGAGGGACATTGTATTGCTCAAAAAAGAAACTGTTTTTGATAGTAGACAAACACAATCTTTTAGTTATGTTCTAATTGCACCTGTCTTTTTATTTTTACTTTTCGGAAAATACATTGTGTCTGTATAAACAATGAATGAATGAGCACACTGAAAAAATGGAAAACTGATTTTTAAAAAAATTTTTTTTAAATGGCTACAGGTTACCACTTTTTACAGTTTGTATGACCTGCAGAGATCGTACTTCACCAGAACACACACACATGCATGTTCATTATTACAACATTTAAAGAAGAATTATATATCAGTTAATACATTTATGCCTAAAACACATTACCATATGTCAGATGACTGGGTAGATTTCTGAAACACATCTTTCTGTGGCTAGAGTTACCAGGCAAGACCACAACATCTATTTTTGCTTTTAACTTTGGAAAACCTTTCAGGTCTTACTTGAGTGCTATGATTTACAAGCATGTTGCATGAGAACTACACTAAAAATAAATTTCCATTTTGAGTTCACAGAGAAGTTTTATATTTGTTTTACAGCAAGGTACTGAACTGTAAACATGATTATGCGCATATTCCTTTTATTGTTTTATTTAATCACACTCAAGTACCAAGGTCAAGTAGCATGTCATCAATATTAATCGAAGAACATCGCGGTATTTAAAGCTATTTGTTTGTTGATGTGCTATTAACTGTATTTAAAGGCAGATAAGGCAGTTTCCTTTCAAGATAAAAAGGAATGGACATCACATCATGGCGTGAATTATTTCATGCATTAACTAAATTGCCCCCTAAATGCTTCCTACAAAAATGAGTAACCTATTTTAGAAAAATGTGTTTCATCTATTAATTGACTTAAGATTTCAATCTAGGTTTTTTTTCCTCAAACATGAGAAGAAAAGTCATGCGATTCCCCCCATAATGCTGGACAAAGAGCCGTTTCTTTCCCTGACGTGCCACGTGAATGTGGAAATAGGTTTAGGTTAATTTTGCCAAAGACGTTACAGCATATTCATCCCATGGTTAAAAAAGGTAAAAGAGGCTGGTTGAGCCCCCAGGGGCCTGGGGACCCGGGCCCCACCTTTGAACACGCATCACATCACTCTTTCATTTCAGCTCCCAGAATTTCATCATTCACTTCACATTATCTGAAGCTCTCTCATAGGGAGCTTTGCTCGCTGTCGAGACGCCTCTGTTGCTTCAAGATCTCTTTGAATAATTCAAAAAAAGCAGGAGAAGATTAGAAGGCATTGGATTTGACTGCGTGAAGAATCAGTCCAACAACTCCCATCATAGTTATCAGTGGATCCGTGCTCAGGCAAACTGTGGTAGTTGTGGTTCAGATGTATTTACAGTGGTGTAATATCTCATTGATGTGAGTGACAAGGTGTAGATTGAGAATTTAACTCGCCTCTGCATCACGAAAATCAATGGAAGTATAAATACAGTTTAAATGTCATAAACGCTGTCATTCAGGGCTACAGTCTGAGCTCAGCACAGCTCACGTTCAGATTTTTAGAATATGAATGATCTGAAGAATTTGAGTTGAATGCTGTACAATGGACAAACTAAAAGGCAATAGTTTATATAGTCACATTTACAACAGAAATAAAGAGAAGGGGTCTGCAATTAATCTTTAAATAATTGTTTTTCGTCCAATCCAATTAGACAGACCAGGTTTAAGTTATACATTATACAGTTGATCTAGCTTTTTGTGTAGGTAAAAAGCAACTTCTATTCACCGATATGCACAGGAAAATAAGTAACTTGCAATAAAATGAAGGAGACTGCAATTAACAACCATTAATGGCCCACAAAATTAGAGCTTGAATTGAACATGAGGCAAATTGTCACCAGTAATACCGTGTTGAATTACTTTTTCTGCCTAAGTATTAATAATAACCATTTAATGTGAGAAATTATGTTATTATTATTTTAAACGGGCCACAATTTGTCATGAAATTAATCACACATTTAAACATAATTTTTTTAATGAGCATGAAAATTCAGTGATGTTTTATCAAAGGCAGCAAACTGTGATTTTTCAATAGAGGCAATATTCTCTTTATTTCTGCCAAAGAATGTCTCCTTTGACCACAGCAGGATCTAATTTGTGAGCATCTTCGCTAAGTGTGTGTAAAAATTCCAAAAGTTCTCAAAAATTCACCCTAACAAGTGTTTCCATCTGGTTCATGTGCACAGATATATGTATATATATATATATATATATGTTGAATTTTACATTACCTACATATTATACAGTATGGGTCTCTGTGTATATAGTGTGAGTGATATGTATATAGCCTATATTATTACCTAAAATTAAAAACATGTATACATATAAATGTATAATTTTCTTTGTAATTCATTCTCAAATTTACTAGTGTTTTTTCCGTTTTTTTTTCTTCTTTCAAAATTTTAACGCTTTATGGAAATATATGTATATATATCTGCAGCTCAGGGGCCTTGTGTCTGTCAGATCACATGATCTCATGGAAACGTGTTCTGTCTTATTCCTAAAACATTATTCCACCTCACCTTCTCAGAGACTTTTGTCATGACGTCTGGGATGTAAAGATCTGGTTCTTATAATTAGGCCACGAGTCAATCCACTCAAAGTGCTTCAGTTACAAATGTACAGTGCCATGGAAACAGATATGGCTGACTGTATGGTAAAATGAGACATTAAAAAAAATCTTTTCGAGGACAGTATACCCTTCTTAGCCATCATATCATGCGAGGAAGTATCTGTTTGATATGTGCTGAAAAGGACACATACTTTTCACATCACAAGAGGCTACAGCCTTGGCACTGCTCCCTGAAAAAGGATGAAAACAAGCCGTCTAGTCGGACAGAATCAATGTAAAGCAATTACATTAGCAACCCCAGGAGCAGCAGCATGTGTACCTGTGCAGCATGTAGACAGTGGAGACTGCAGTGACGGCCTGCTTTGCTCTTCTCAAGCATCTGCAAAAATCCTGCATCTGCAGGAGGCTGTAGGCATATGAAATCACTCAGATGTGAAATATCAAAAACATGTCTTAAACTGTCTGTACCTGTGTATGGGAGGCACAGACAACAGAAATGTGTGCACATACATGTGCTTATTCAAGGTCTGATATTGCACGTGTGCCCTCCTACAGAAATTACATTCATTGTCTGTGTTATTGCTAATCACTGACAGAGCACATTGTTCACAGCAGGGAAAAAGAGGGCCATCGAGAACAAGCCTGACTGATTCCCACTGTGCTAGTGCACGCAGGATATGCGAATAAATCCTCTTATTTGCATGCTTGATTTGCAACATGTTTTGCTCGTTTTCGTTGTTCTTTGTTCTTGTTTACTCAAATTGCGAGACAATAAAAGGACACGCATGTTGATACAGATCAATGTCGGCTTTCTTAAAATAGTTTTCAGCCACAGCACCATTATACATAATTTGATTACACAAGTGCCAGAAATATATTTGCCAACTTTTCGCAGGCTAAGCCTGTTTGTTTCCTGATTTAATATTATAGTAAAAATGTGTGTACTGTCACTGGAACAGCTTGTCAGAAGTTGAATGACTAGCACATACAGTGTCTGGACTCTGGTTCAATTGAAAAATGCTGTGGCATAATTACTCCACTAGATGTCAGTACACGCTATTTATATCTTCAAACAGACAACAGAGCAAAGATTTTTACTTAATAATACTTAGAGACACCGAGGTTAGGAAAACAAACCAACAAAGAAATCACACCTGCCAAAATATTTTGATATTTGAATAAGCCTGCTATGTTATAAAATAATTCTTTGAACATTAGATTAAAATGGCAATTGT